CTTTCCTGCTCCTCTGATGCTGCCTGGCCTGCTGTGTTCCTCCAGCTCCACACTGTTATCTCCGACTCCAGCATTGGCAGTTCTTACTACCTCTGAGGTCATTCGGAAACCACTGGAGGAGAAACACTGAGGAAGAACCGTAGCGGACTTAGAAATGTTAACTCTGTTTCTCTATCCAGTTGCCGAGTTTCTTCAGAATTTTGTGTTTATTTCAGATCTCTAGCATCCAGACTAGATCGTAGATCCCCTACCGTGTGGGAACAGGCCCTTCGGCCCAACAAGTCCACACCGACCCTCAGAGCATCCCACCCAGACCCATCTCCCTATAACCCACCTCATCTACACGTCCCTGAACACTATGGGTGATTTAGCATGGCCAGTCCACCCTAGCCTGCACATCTTTGGACTGTGGGAGGAAACCCACGCAGACACGGGGAGAATATGCAAACTCCGCACAGACTGTCGCTCAAAAGGTGGAATTGAACCAGGGTCCCTGGTGCTGTGAGGCACCGGTGTTAACCACTGAGCCACCATGCTGCCCAAGTGCTTTGCTTCTGTTGTCTCTACAGGATTTACCTCAATGACAAATCCTGAATATCCAAGCACTAGGTCCAAGGCGAGATCAGAGGGATCTGAGATAGTCGGCTGAAGCAGAAAACGGATCAACTTCAAACATGTGCAGTCTACAAAGATGGGAAGAAATTTGCCGATGTGCTGAAATCTGTCTGTGGCACCAATGTATGGTTCAGCAACTAACCTTGGTGCTGTCATTGGTCACAGCAAAAAACCCCGTAGAAAGACAGGCAGAAAGATGCTCGCTAGCATTTAGAAGAATAAGAAGAGATCCATTGAGGTCTATAAGATGCTAAAGGGCACTGACAAAGCAGACAGTGAGCAGGTGTTTACCTTTGTGGGACATTCACTGGGCTGGATGTGAGGTGAGTTTATAAAAGACATTAAACTAGGTCGAGGGGTTTATAAAATCATGGAACTGGAGGGTAAGTAATCGACAGCATCCCTCTCACCCCAGTTATATTCTCTTCCAACCTCTTCCATCAGGCAGAAGATTCAGAAGTCAAATACACATCCCAACAGATTCAAGCAGACTTCTTCCCTGCTGTTATTGGACTTCTGAATGGATCTCTCAAATTTCAAATCTAATGTCGATCTTGCTTTTGTGCACCTCCTGTGGAGACATAACCTTGTATGCCTCGCTCTGTCTAAGCACCCTATGATCGGTATGAAAACAGAAAGGACTGTGGATGCTGTAAATCAGGAACAAAAACAGAAGTTGCTGGAAAAGCTCAGCAGGTCTGGCAGCATCTGTGAAGGAAAAAATCAGAGTTAATGTTTCGGGTCCGGTGACCCTTCCTCAGAATCTTCTTACGATCTGTATGTCCTTTGTATGTTACGATCTGTCTGTACTACTCGCAAAACAACACTTTTCACTGTACTCAAGTTCATGTGACAACAATAAAGCAAATCAAAATACAGCAGAGAGCAGTACCACCAATGCTGCCTGTGCAAGATGCTGCAAATCCGCTGGGAAGAATCATGCACCAAGACCACCATCCGCAACCAGGCCAACATCATCGGTACTGAGGCATTGACCAAACTTGATCGGCTGCAATGGGCTGGGCATG